CTGGCATGCACACAGCTGCTGGCATGCACACAGCTGCTGGCATGCACACAGCTGCTGGCATGCACACAGCTGCTGGCATGCACACAGCTGCTGGCATGCACACAGCTGCTGGCATGCACACAGCTGCTGGCATGCACACAGCTGGTGGCATGCACACAGCTGGTGGCATGCACACAGCTGGTGGCATGCACACAGCTGCTGGCATGCACACAGCTGCTGGCATGCACACAGCTGGTGGCATGCACACAGCTGGTGGCATGCACACAGCTGGTGGCATGCACACAGCTGCTGGCATGCACACAGCTGCTGGCATGCACACAGCTGGTGGCATGCACACAGCTGCTGGCATGCACACAGCTGGTGGCATGCACACAGCTGCTGGCATGCACACAGCTGCTGGCATGCACACAGCTGGTGGCATGCACACAGCTGCTGGCATGCACACAGCTGCTGGCATGCACACAGCTGCTGGCATGCACACAGCTGCTGGCATGCACACAGCTGCTGGCATGCACACAGCTGCTGGCATGCACACAGCTGCTGGCATGCACACAGCTGCTGGCATGCACACAGCTGCTGGCATGCACACAGCTGCTGGCATGCACACAGCTGCTGGCATGCACACAGCTGCTGGCATGCACACAGCTGCTGGCATGCACACAGCTGCTGGCATGCACACAGCTGCTGGCATGCACACAGCTGCTGGCATGCACACAGCTGGTGGCATGCACACAGCTGGTGGCATGCACACAGCTGCTGGCATGCACACAGCTGGTGGCATGCACACAGCTGGTGGCATGCACACAGCTGCTGGCATGCACACAGCTGCTGGCATGCACACAGCTGCTGGCATGCACACAGCTGCTGGCATGCACACAGCTGCTGGCATGCACACAGCTGCTGGCATGCACACAGCTGCTGGCATGCACACAGCTGCTGGCATGCACACAGCTGGTGGCATGCACACAGCTGGTGGCATGCACACAGCTGGTGGCATGCACACAGCTGGTGGCATGCACACAGCTGGTGGCATGCACACAGCTGCTGGCATGCACACAGCTGGTGGCATGCACACAGCTGCTGGCATGCACACAGCTGCTGGCATGCACACAGCTGGTGGCATGCACACAGCTGCTGGCATGCACACAGCTGCTGGCATGCACACAGCTGCTGGCATGCACACAGCTGGTGGCATGCACACAGCTGGTGGCATGCACACAGCTGCTGGCATGCACACAGCTGCTGGCATGCACACAGCTGGTGGCATGCACACAGCTGGTGGCATGCACACAGCTGGTGGCATGCACACAGCTGCTGGCATGCACACAGCTGGTGGCATGCACACAGCTGGTGGCATGCACACAGCTGCTGGCATGCACACAGCTGCTGGCATGCACACAGCTGCTGGCATGCACACAGCTGCTGGCATGCACACAGCTGCTGGCATGCACACAGCTGCTGGCATGCACACAGCTGCTGGCATGCACACAGCTGCTGGCATGCACACAGCTGGTGGCATGCACACAGCTGCTGGCATGCACACAGCTGCTGGCATGCACACAGCTGCTGGCATGCACACAGCTGCTGGCATGCACACAGCTGGTGGCATGCACACAGCTGCTGGCATGCACACAGCTGCTGGCATGCACACAGCTGCTGGCATGCACACAGCTGCTGGCATGCACACAGCTGCTGGCATGCACACAGCTGCTGGCATGCACACAGCTGCTGGCATGCACACAGCTGCTGGCATGCACACAGCTGCTGGCATGCACACAGCTGCTGGCATGCACACAGCTGCTGGCATGCACACAGCTGGTGGCATGCACACAGCTGCTGGCATGCACACAGCTGCTGGCATGCACACAGCTGCTGGCATGCACACAGCTGGTGGCATGCACACAGCTGCTGGCATGCACACAGCTGCTGGCATGCACACAGCTGGTGGCATGCACACAGCTGCTGGCATGCACACAGCTGCTGGCATGCACACAGCTGCTGGCATGCACACAGCTGCTGGCATGCACACAGCTGCTGGCATGCACACAGCTGGTGGCATGCACACAGCTGGTGGCATGCACACAGCTGGTGGCATGCACACAGCTGGTGGCATGCACACAGCTGGTGGCATGCACACAGCTGGTGGCATGCACACAGCTGGTGGCATGCACACAGCTGGTGGCATGCACACAGCTGGTGGCATGCACACAGCTGGTGGCATGCACACAGCTGGTGGCATGCACACAGCTGCTGGCATGCACACAGCTGGTGGCATGCACACAGCTGCTGGCATGCACACAGCTGGTGGCATGCACACAGCTGGTGGCATGCACACAGCTGCTGGCATGCACACAGCTGCTGGCATGCACACAGCTGCTGGCATGCACACAGCTGCTGGCATGCACACAGCTGCTGGCATGCACACAGCTGCTGGCATGCACACAGCTGGTGGCATGCACACAGCTGGTGGCATGCACACAGCTGCTGGCATGCACACAGCTGCTGGCATGCACACAGCTGGTGGCATGCACACAGCTGCTGGCATGCACACAGCTGGTGGCATGCACACAGCTGGTGGCATGCACACAGCTGGTGGCATGCACACAGCTGCTGGCATGCACACAGCTGCTGGCATGCACACAGCTGCTGGCATGCACACAGCTGCTGGCATGCACACAGCTGCTGGCATGCACACAGCTGCTGGCATGCACACAGCTGCTGGCATGCACACAGCTGGTGGCATGCACACAGCTGCTGGCATGCACACAGCTGGTGGCATGCACACAGCTGCTGGCATGCACACAGCTGGTGGCATGCACACAGCTGCTGGCATGCACACAGCTGCTGGCATGCACACAGCTGGTGGCATGCACACAGCTGCTGGCATGCACACAGCTGCTGGCATGCACACAGCTGCTGGCATGCACACAGCTGCTGGCATGCACACAGCTGCTGGCATGCACACAGCTGGTGGCATGCACACAGCTGCTGGCATGCACACAGCTGCTGGCATGCACACAGCTGCTGGCATGCACACAGCTGGTGGCATGCACACAGCTGCTGGCATGCACACAGCTGCTGGCATGCACACAGCTGCTGGCATGCACACAGCTGGTGGCATGCACACAGCTGGTGGCATGCACACAGCTGCTGGCATGCACACAGCTGCTGGCATGCACACAGCTGGTGGCATGCACACAGCTGCTGGCATGCACACAGCTGCTGGCATGCACACAGCTGGTGGCATGCACACAGCTGCTGGCATGCACACAGCTGCTGGCATGCACACAGCTGCTGGCATGCACACAGCTGGTGGCATGCACACAGCTGGTGGCATGCACACAGCTGGTGGCATGCACACAGCTGCTGGCATGCACACAGCTGCTGGCATGCACACAGCTGCTGGCATGCACACAGCTGCTGGCATGCACACAGCTGGTGGCATGCACACAGCTGGTGGCATGCACACAGCTGCTGGCATGCACACAGCTGGTGGCATGCACACAGCTGCTGGCATGCACACAGCTGCTGGCATGCACACAGCTGCTGGCATGCACACAGCTGCTGGCATGCACACAGCTGCTGGCATGCACACAGCTGCTGGCATGCACACAGCTGGTGGCATGCACACAGCTGGTGGCATGCACACAGCTGCTGGCATGCACACAGCTGGTGGCATGCACACAGCTGCTGGCATGCACACAGCTGGTGGCATGCACACAGCTGGTGGCATGCACACAGCTGCTGGCATGCACACAGCTGGTGGCATGCACACAGCTGCTGGCATGCACACAGCTGGTGGCATGCACACAGCTGGTGGCATGCACACAGCTGGTGGCATGCACACAGCTGGTGGCATGCACACAGCTGCTGGCATGCACACAGCTGGTGGCATGCACACAGCTGGTGGCATGCACACAGCTGCTGGCATGCACACAGCTGGTGGCATGCACACAGCTGGTGGCATGCACACAGCTGCTGGCATGCACACAGCTGGTGGCATGCACACAGCTGCTGGCATGCACACAGCTGGTGGCATGCACACAGCTGGTGGCATGCACACAGCTGGTGGCATGCACACAGCTGCTGGCATGCACACAGCTGCTGGCATGCACACAGCTGCTGGCATGCACACAGCTGGTGGCATGCACACAGCTGCTGGCATGCACACAGCTGCTGGCATGCACACAGCTGCTGGCATGCACACAGCTGCTGGCATGCACACAGCTGCTGGCATGCACACAGCTGCTGGCATGCACACAGCTGCTGGCATGCACACAGCTGCTGGCATGCACACAGCTGCTGGCATGCACACAGCTGGTGGCATGCACACAGCTGCTGGCATGCACACAGCTGCTGGCATGCACACAGCTGCTGGCATGCACACAGCTGCTGGCATGCACACAGCTGCTGGCATGCACACAGCTGCTGGCATGCACACAGCTGCTGGCATGCACACAGCTGCTGGCATGCACACAGCTGCTGGCATGCACACAGCTGCTGGCATGCACACAGCTGGTGGCATGCACACAGCTGGTGGCATGCACACAGCTGGTGGCATGCACACAGCTGGTGGCATGCACACAGCTGGTGGCATGCACACAGCTGCTGGCATGCACACAGCTGCTGGCATGCACACAGCTGCTGGCATGCACACAGCTGCTGGCATGCACACAGCTGCTGGCATGCACACAGCTGCTGGCATGCACACAGCTGCTGGCATGCACACAGCTGCTGGCATGCACACAGCTGCTGGCATGCACACAGCTGCTGGCATGCACACAGCTGCTGGCATGCACACAGCTGCTGGCATGCACACAGCTGCTGGCATGCACACAGCTGGTGGTGACCTGCTTCCTTGCTCCCTACTCCCTTCTCTCCCTTTTTCCTCCTTCCCCTTTCCCCTCAATCCCATCTCTTCTCTCCCTTTCTTCTTTTCCTCTGCTCTCCCTTCCCCAAATCTCTCATGCCGCCCATGCCTTCCTCCCCGCCCCCACCAGCATCCGTCGAGTGCACGTGTTGGACGACCCGTTTGACGACCCACCGGGACTCACTGACCTCATCCCCGATGCCTCCCCACCCATGCCGCCCCCCACTGCTGTGAGCCCATGCCGCCCCCCCCACCTGTGAGCCCATGCCACTGCTGTGAGCCCATGCCGCCCCCCCCACCTGTGAGCCCATGCCACTGCTGTGAGCCCATGCCGCCCCCCCCACCTGTGAGCCCATGCCACTGCTGTGAGCCCATGCCGCCCCCCCCACCTGTGAGCCCATTCCACTGCTGTGAGCCCATGCCGCCCCCCCCTGCACGTGCTCTGTTGAAGCACCCATGCCACCAACTTCTTTTCAATCGCCAGTACATCGCGATTGCAGTCCATGATGTCACTGCCTTGGACAGTTGCCTGCTGACTTATTCATGACCTACTGTCGTTCCCCACATTCCCCACATCTCCACATTCCATTGTGCTGCACCTTTTGCCAACTCCCCATTTGCACTCCTTCCATACAATACAACCCCCTCTCCCCCCTCACCTTTGCTTCCTCCCTCCATCTTCTACTGTTGCCCCCCCCTGCCACGGACGGTGTGAGCGGCGAGCAGGGCTCAGACGTGAGGCTGGAGGACGACTGGGTGCCCATGGATGAGGGGCGCGCCGCGGATGAGGTGGAGAGGGATGTGCGGCGCAGAGAGGCGCAGTCCAGAGGCGTGGTGCTGGAGATGGTGAGATGAGAGGGTGGTGCTGAGATGAGAGGGTGGTGCTGGAGATGGTGAGAGTGTGGTGCTGGAATGTGGGGATGTGATGTTCTGCTGCTCACCCCCCTTTTCCGCCCGCTGTGCCACTATCCGCTCTTCAGATAGGCGATCTACCCGAGGCGGAGTTCAAGCCACCCGACAACGTGCTCTTCATCTGCAAGCTCAACCCCGTCACGCAGGTAAGCCCCCTCTCCCTCACCTGCCTCTCAGGTACCTTTCAGGTGCCCCTCAGGTGCACAAGGTGTTTCAGGAGTGGTGCAGCACAGATCATAAGTCTCCATGCCTTGTCTGTCCCCACTGCTCCTCTCAGCACTGGCACTCTGTGCCTGCCGCCCCATGCACCACCTGCCGCCCCATGCACCACCTGCCGCCCCATGCACCACCTGCCGCCCCATGCACCACCTGCCGCCCCATGCACCACCTGCCGCCCCATGCACCACCTGCCGCCCCATGCACCACCTGCCGCCCCATGCACCACCTGCCGCCCCATGCACCACCTGCCGCCCCATGCACCACCTGCCGCCCCATGCACCACCTGCCGCCCCATGCACCACCTGCCGCCCCATGCACCACCTGCCGCCCCATGCACCACCTGCCGCCCCATGCACCACCTGCCGCCCCATGCACCACCTGCCGCCCCATGCACCACCTGCCGCCCCATGCACCACCTGCCGCCCCATGCACCACCTGCCGCCCCATGCACCACCTGCCGCCCCATGCACCACCTGCCGCCCCATGCACCACCTGCCGCCCCATGCACCACCTGCCGCCCCATGCACCACCTGCCGCCCCATGCACCACCTGCCGCCCCATGCACCACCTGCCGCCCCATGCACCACCTGCCGCCCCATGCACCACCTGCCGCCCCATGCACCACCTGCCGCCCCATGCACCACCTGCCGCCCCATGCACCACCTGCCGCCCCATGCACCACCTGCCGCCCCATGCACCACCTGCCGCCCCATGCACCACCTGCCGCCCCATGCACCACCTGCCGCCCCATGCACCACCTGCCGCCCCATGCACCACCTGCCGCCCCATGCACCACCTGCCGCCCCATGCACCACCTGCCGCCCCATGCACCACCTGCCGCCCCATGCACCACCTGCCGCCCCATGCACCACCTGCCGCCCCATGCACCACCTGCCCGCACGAGCGCATGCCAATTCCCACACACATGCATCTCTTGATGTGTCACGCTGAAGCTGATTGGCCGTGTTCTCCAAACACGGTTGTCTCTCCTCCCTGCCTCTTTTCACTTGCATCACGCTCACACCTGTGCTGTGCTATGTATGCCACATGCATGCATCATATGCATGGCATCACATGCATGGCATCACATGCATGGCACCACATGCATGCATGCGTGCAATGGCTGCGGTGCATGGCATGGGTTCAGGACGACGATCTGGAGATCATCTTCTCTCGGTTCGGCAAGGTCCTCTCGTGAGTTGCCCCCACTGTCACTGCCCCGTCATGTCATCGCGTTGAGATGGGAGCTTGCCCCTTCTCCTCCATCTTGTGGGGTGGGTGGCAGCCCAATCATTGGGGTTGAACCGATGATTGGACGAGCCAAACATTGGAGGGTTTGGTCACCAGTGTTGGCTCCCAGAAATAGTGGTGCGTGGGTTGCGGGAATGTGACTGAAAGGTTGGTCGCCCTCGTCGATGTGTTGTGTACATCCATCGCTTGGGTTGGGTGTACACGATAGGCCCAGCCACATGCATGTTATAATCTATCACACCTGCTATGATGGGACTCTCTCACAGCCTCATAGGCTGGAAAAAGTTTTATAGTTGGGAAATTCTGGAGTTAATTCAACAAATTCTGTTGACCGCCTATGCTGCATTGACCGCCTATGCTACATCCCATCCCATGTGATGCGAGGACATCCATACATTACCCTGCAATGCCGTAGCATCCCATTCACAAATGCTCCATTGTGCATCGCCCCTGTGGCCACCCCTCTCCACCACATCCCACCCCACCACATGGCACTGCACCGCACAGGGCGGACATCATTCGAGACCAGAAGACGGGCGACAGCCTCTGCTACGGCTTCATTGGTGCGTATGGGGCGTGGTGATGGGGCGTGGTGATGGGGCGTGGTGATGGGGCATGACGGGGCATGATGGGGCATGATGGGGCATGATGGGGCATGATGGGGCATGACGGGGCATGATGGGGCATGATGGGGCATGACGGGGCATGATGGGGCATGGTGGGGCATGATGGGGCGTGATGGGGCATGATGGGGCATGATGAGGCATGATGGGGCGTGATGGGGCATGATGGGGCGTGAAGGGGCGTGATGGGGCATGATGGGGCATGATGGGGCATGATGGGGCATGATGGGGCATGATGGGGCATGATGGGGCGTGATGGGGCGTGATGGGGCGTGATGGGGCGTGATGGGGCATGATGGGGCGTGATGGGGCGTGATGGGGCATGATGGGGCATGATGGGGCGTGATGGGGCATGATGGCGATGCTGCCGTATATGGAGCAACAATGAGGCACTGCCTTAAAATTTGGTGCCATTTGTTCGTCCTGTCTTTTTCTCTTCTATGTTCTTCTCTCCCTTCCCTCTCCCTTCTTCTCTTCCTCACATCTTCCCTCTTTTCGTCTCTCCTTCCTCCTTTCCCTTCGTCTCTCCCTTTGCTTCAACTTGTTCTCTTCTTTCTCTCCCTCCCGCTCAACCTCCTTGTCCTGCGTGTATTTAGAGTTTGAAACGAAGGAGGCGTGTGAGGCGGCTTACTTTAAGGTCAATACTTCACCACCCTCCGCTCCTTGCTCCTTGATCCTTTGTTCTGTGACTCTTGCTTCTGTATCCATGCACCTTGCTTCTCAATCCTTGCTCCTTGCTCATAAGCATTGTTGGAATGAGGGTGCATTCACGACCGCCGTGTGCTCATCGCAACGGGACCATTACACCGGAGCTCGCTGCTCCCCATCTACAAACCCCTTTCAATCAACCCACCCCATCCATTCCCCCATCGCCCCCCTGCCCTCCTCCGTCCCACCATGCGCCGCGCCTGCTTCCCTTGCGGCCCCCAGATGGACGGGGTGCTGATTGACGACCGCCGTGTGCACGTGGACTTCAGCCAGAGCGTCGGCCGCCTCTGGTCGCGCTTCCGCCGCTTCGGCACCTCCGACTCCGCTGCTGATGCTGCTGCCGATGCCGGCGCTGCTGGCTCTGCTGGTGGCAGGAGGGGAGGGAGAGGAGGTGGAAGGGGGGGCCGTGGAGGTGGTGGTGGTCGCGGTGGCATGCGGTCGTGCTTCAGCTGCGGGGAGGAGGGGCACATGGCTAGGGAGTGCCCGAACGCGGGAGGGAGAGGGGGGATGGGTGGGGGTAGGGAGGAGGACGAGGAGGAGGTGGAGGGGGGGCAGGGCGGGCAGAGGCGGTTTGAGCTGAAGGAGTCGGGGCACGGGCAGCGGGGCGAGCAGGGCAAGAGGTGAGGCGAGCAGGGCAAGAGGTGAGGCGAACAACGAAAGAGGTGATACCGTAATGAATTAGGTGCCAGATGATCAGAAGCCAAGGTGGAGATGGGTGGTGCTGGGTGGTGACGCAAGGCTGGGAAAGGTGCAGTGACGTGGTGGAAGCTGAGTGCCTTCTCCACACACGCGTTGAAATGACTATCCTTGCAACATTTCCGTAATCATTCCAAGCAGCTCGGACGTTCTCACAAGTGCTCATCCTCTGTACCACCCTTTTCTTTGTCCCTCCCACCATCACCTGGCAGCTACGAGCTTGTGTTCGATGGGGAGGAGGAGGGAGAGGGCAGGGCGGAGGGAGGAGGGGGGAGGAGTGTGCATGCAGGTGTGGCGAGGAGGAGGGAGGGGAGGGAGGGAGAGGGAAAGCGGCGTAGAGAAGGTGATGGGGCTGCTGCCGGTGCGGATGTGGCTGCTCTTACAGCCGACGCCCTTGCTCGCGCTCGGGCGATTGCTGCACGGGTGACTGCAGGGAGAGAGGGGCGAGGAGGTGGAGGAGAGGACGGAGCTGCACGTGGTGCGAGTCCAAAGAGGGACGGAAAGAGAGAGAGGAAGAGGAGGTGGGATGCGGAAGAAGTAGAGGGAAGAGTGGAGCACGGTGGGGAGGTGAAAGAGGAGAGGGGGGGTGTGCGGAGGGTGGAGCATGGAAGGCAGCGGAAGGAGGACGAGAAGATTGGAAGGAAGATTCATGGAAGGAGAGGTGAGGAATTGGATAGAGAGCATGAGGAGGAAATAATGAGGGAGAGGAGAGGTGTCAAAACAGTGAGGATGGACGATGGAAGGAGAGGGCGTGGAGGGACTTCTGACAGCGAAGAGGAGCATGGGGGAAGTAGGGAGGAGAGGCGAGGAAGATCAGATGGAGACAGTTGGGAGAGGCGGCGTGGAGATGAAGGGCGCCGCAGAGAGGAGGGGGATCGTGAGAGAGGAAAAGTGGTTGAAAGGAAGAGGAGAGATGATGAGGGAGGAATAAGAGTGCGGGGCGAAGAGGGGAGAAGAGGGAAGGATGAAGAGGAGTATGTGGAGGGAAGCAGGAGAAGCGGAAGGCGTAGTGGCTATTCAAGGGATGAAGATGTGAGTCCAGCGAGGGAGAAGGGGAGGAGTGAGAGGAGGGAAGGAGGTGGGCATGAGTCAACAAAGTGGCGTGATAGTGAGAGGAGGTGCAGAGACGAGGACAGGGAGGTAAAAAGGAGCAGGGAAGAGAGCAGGGAGGAAAAAAAGGCAAGGAAAGAAGAGAGCTTGGAGGGATGGAAAGACAGAGATGGGAGCATAGACAGCATGAGGCACAGCAGGGAAGGGCATGGCATTCGGCATAAAGGAGAGAGGAGCGTGAGGGTGGATGATTGGGATGATGCGCCCCGGGGGGTGAGACAAGAAAGTAAGGAGAGAGATGGACGAGAGAGGAGACAGGTCGAGTGGGGTGAGGAAAGGAGAGCAAGGGGACGAGAAGCGAGGAGTGAGAAGAAAGAGGGAAGATACGGTAGGAGTGGGCATTAAATTGGTGACACTGGTGTAGGGACAAAGCAAAGCTATTCGAAAGCGTCGCGTGTGTTAATGGTTCCTGAATGTTGCAGGATCGTTTTGAAGACGTGCTTGCCATGGTTGTCATTAGTTCTTCCTGGAGTGATGTGTTACCAAACATTTGGAATGTGAAGGTAGTCTGAAATTCTCGCATCCCGCACTTGACGAACCCAAGGTACCGTAGCTTATATGGAGTTGGGTGGGTGGGTGGGTGGGTGGGCTTATTGGCGGGTTTTTTCAAATAATACTAGTAAATTCTCACACTCGTAAGGGAATGAAAGGATGTACAGTAGTAGATTTTCAATGTTTTGACATAAGCTCTAGCGGGTGGGCTCTTCAAAGGGTGAGTGCCTGTTCCAAACCTCCTGTGACTTCACATCCGCGGGTCATCTCTGCGGACCCCTCCTATGATAGCCCACCATTTGTGCTGCCGCTATTGCATACTATAGCCTCTCTGACAATCATTCCATCATGCCCTCCGCGGTCGCAAGGAAGTTGGTCTCCTTCAGCAGTTTCATTTCACCGCCTGCTTGTGGGTCGAACTGAAGCTTGTAGTACCTGGTGCGAGGGCACAGACACCCAAAACAGCAACTCGGTCAAAGAATAAAATATGGGAGATACTGGAAGAAACAAACTTTCGCAATCAATCTCAAGTTCCACACACAAAACGTGTAAGCATACAAGCCCATGTCTCGAGAGTGCCCAGCTACCGGTACATAATTGCACACGTACGACACGTATAGGCATTCGTATGGGCACACGTACGCGCCAGCGCTGCTGACCACAATGACGGTGTTTGCCTGGGCGCCAAAGGCAGCGAGCATGTGAGTGTGCCACCGGTGCGGTAGAAGGCCAGCGAGCGCTCCTCTCTGAAGTACTTGGGGAGGACGACTGGGGAAGAAGAGGAGGGAGAGGCGTCAGAGAGAGGCAGGAGGCAAGGGGGGGATGGCATGAGAGCAGCGAGCATGCTCAAGTGCACAGCAATGTGGAAGAACGTCAAACAGGGCTGGTCGCTCAAGTACTTGGGGAGTGGATGAGTCTTGGAGGGGAGTTAAGGAGAGGAGTCATGGACGAGCAAGAGTTAGAAGGGGTGTCAGGGGGTAGGAAAGGATGAAGGCAAGAGAACGCTTGTCTCTGGAATACTTGGGGGGGGAAGGATTTATAGGGGTT